AAGAAATCATTTTGCTCCTCGACACACCCATTATTCATTATATAATAGCACACAAGCTTGTGTGCCAGCATTTCCAATTCAATATTCTGATCTACATTTTCTACCTCTGTGACCTGGCTGAATTCTCTAGGCATGACAGATACCACATTTACTATGATGTCTAGGGAAGCTGTTGATTCACTATCAAAGTTGTCAGTCATGTTCTCATCATCTTCGACTACACCAATTGGCTCATTTTTTCGATCCCAAACAACTTTCGTCTTATCGGCATCTTCTCAGTGCTCCCACCTTGATTGCCAATGTTAGTACTTGACTCTCCTTGTTTTAATCCATGGGTTTCTCTGGTGGCCTTTCGCCTACGCTGCTCCCTTCGCCATTAAGACCTGGTCATAGGGTTTTTCCCTTTGTAGTTTTGGGAAATATATGTTGACTTGTTAGTGGTATGGTTCTCTTTTAGATACTCAAATGAGAAATCTCTCTCCATATCAAACTTTCTCCATTTCTTACCCCCCTGTCCTTCGACAGGTTTGACCTACTTTCCTGCAGGCACGTTACCCACTGGTTTGAATGTGTTGGGCCTTGCTGGAGTTTTTATCCCTACTGAGGGATTTCTGGGATCAATATTTCTGGGGTCCTGGTTCTTTCTCTGCCCCTAGCTTTCATTGATTTTCTTGATCTCCTCTAAATCATGAGCAACCTTCTCATCTAAAATAGCGCTTCACCTAGGACATAACATCACACCTGATCCGTTCTTCTAACAACGATGCAAAAAGTCAACGATGGTTTCCTCTGGCTCAGGGTATACCACCTTGTTAGGTTCCTCTGGTTTTCTTGCTTCGCCTATTTCTCTCACCTTTTGGTTGGTGATCTCGACCATGTTGACATCGACCTTATCCTAGAGCTTCATCTTGGATAAGTGAACTTCCAGGTTTTTAGTATCCTTGGAATCCTCAATTAGACTTGAATCTTCAACATTAAACCTTTCGATGTTAGGGGAAGTGTTGAAATACTATTCTGCTGCCATGCGTATTCAATTCTCCAGCAGACAACCATCCATTTCCATCATTTCACCCATCAACAACATGTTGTTTTCCAATTTCTTGATTACCTGGACCCTAGGAACATTTCTGCCCAACGCTTTATTGGTGTTGATACTATCAGTACTAGCATCAGACTCTTTGCCAGCTTCAACCATATTAATACTCTCAGTGGCGTTTCGTCCCAATTTTTCTCCTGCTGCATCTGATTCTTTAACAGTGTTGTTAAACTGGACGAATTAGTTAGCAGTCTTCTTGGTTACCAGCATCAAGTTACGACCATCAGTTTTTTCTGAACTGTGTAATAATAGGTTACAACCTTTAGTTATCTTGGTTGTTTCAAGTTGAATGTCAAAGTTCTCAGTGAGTTCTACCATGTTGACTGGAGACTTCTCAATGGCTTTGACCATCTGAACTTCTTCGGGTTCTGTATAATTAGCTTTTGCAGTTTGTAATGGGTCAGAATCAATTTTCATCTGAGTCTTCCCCTTGTCTCCAAACTTCAGCCTACCTTCTTGAATGGCGTTATGCACCAGATCCCTGAAAAGAAAATATTGAGAAGTCTTATGACCCAAGAAATTATGGTACTTACAAAAACCTCTTTTCTTTCTTTGTTCTAAAGGAGGTACTTTAGCACTAGCATGTACTATTATTTTCCCATCCTTAACTAACAAGTCAAAGATTTTGTCACATTTAATAACGTCAAAAGTATATGTTCTTTTAGGAAATATGTCATTAGACTCAGTGGGATTTTTCCCATTCGAAGGAGCTAAGAATTTGCAAGCATAAGGTGGACCTTGCTTTAATTCAGTAACGTCAACCTCATTCGCATCGAAGTATAATGTTTCGTCATACAGATTTTCTGCATCTTCATTACATTCGACAAAAGCTACTTTTTTACCCTTACTGAACCTAGCTTTCTCTTCTTTTAGCCTTTCCAAGCGTCGAACTCGGTCAGCTAGCTGTGTCATATCCGTTAGGTACTGGGTATCCAACTTTTTCCTAATGGAATAATCTAGACCCCTTGCATCCATTTCGACCAACTCGTGTTCTGGAACTTGTGTAAAGCATCTGGCTTTAAGAATTCGAAACCTATTCAAGTAATCGTCAATTGGCTCAGTCACTTTACGTTTGATACTAGCCAATTCTTTCAAACTAATCTTAGTTTGCCCTATATAGAACTGTTCATAAAACAAACGCTCTAATTGGGCCCAATTATAAACTGAATTAGGAGGCAACGTGGTAAACCATGTGAAAGCATTTTTTGTGAGAGAACTTGGGAAGTATTTGATCCTAAGACTCTCGTCTCCAGCTATCTCTCCCGCTTCGATCATATACCTAGCCACGTGTTCGACGGTTGATTCCATAGTATCCCCTGCAAACTTACTAAATTTTGGAACCTTCATCCTGGGAGGCAATTCAGCCTGCAAAATATAATCCACTATAGGTGAAGTATAATTTGGCCTTGTAAAGCCAAAATTTGCTCCATTTCTGGTCGTTATCCTTTCGACCATAACTGTAACGTTGTTCTCTTCTGCTGCATCATGACGTCGAACTTGTCTAAGTATTTGGTCATCATTTTGATTCCTGTTCACCATGACTACTCCTGATCATTCCTCCATATGAACTAGTACCTGATTCCTTTGTGGTTTGACTCTGAAAGGTTCGCTCATTTCATGATCTTCCATATTCACTTCGTGAATATTCTGTTGCTGATATCGTGGAACATTCTCGACAACTGTTGCTCTCTGCTCAAATGCTGGTACTCCCATAAAATCAGCCATACGAGCTAACTGTGTCGCCACCTACTGATTGGTTTGAGTAGTATTCTAAATTAGAGGTTGAAAGATTTCTCCCATCATCAGAGACAACGTGTGCACCATTTGCATATTACTTTCATCCATTTGTTATCTTAAGCAGTTTATAGATGTAGTTGTAATGCTAGGTGCTTGCACAGAGTAACCAACACCTATGATATGGTTGTTTCGACCACCTGATCCAGATCCTTGCACTGGCGAAGATACCACATTTTTTGAAAATATGGGTGGAGCACTATGCAAATTCTGCATTATTGATGTAGGCATACCATATGGTTGGTTCCTTAATAATGGTTGTGAGAAACCAGGAGGAGGAATTTGCCTGTATACTGAACTTCTCGGAGGTGTCGATGAATTAGAACTTTGTGGTCCTATATATTCCAACACAAGTTGAGTGTACGTTCGTACACATGTTGATCCTGAACTAGTCATAGACTGCATTTGTTCAGACACAACCATTGGTGGTGACGTCTGTCCTCCTATCGAAGAGGTTGCGCATGGCGTATTCTGAGACCCCATACTTGACTGGGTGTTTGAAATGCTTCCTTGAGGGTCAACTTGTTGATTAACACTTATGGCCATTCTTTTAATGTATCTTCTTTTTGGTACTTCTTCGTGTTTTGTGGCTAACTTTCCACTCCTTAATAACATACAACAAAGCATTCGCCCAAAAACTAATGTAAACTTTGAAAATGCTTAGCATTGGGTCCTACTAGGTGTGCCAATTTGTTTACTGTGAATTTTGGTAAACAATCGCTCATCTATCAATTTAGGGTAAAACTGACTAACTTGCACGACCGACCATACTAAATCCTAGAACATGTGCTAAGTGTGTGAAAAAGACCCTAAGCCGAACTCCATGTTCGACTATAAAATCTTTGGAGAGTAAGATGACTTAAAGATTAAAGGCGATAAGTAAAGGAAAGCATGTAATGCATCGAAGATTAAGGCAAGAATGTAAAGTGCATTAATGGAAAGGCTTTGGAAAGTAAAGTTGAAAGTAAATGCAAGAATGTAAATGACTTTTTAAAGTAAATGACTTTGAAAATAACTGCAGTGACGTAAAGGGTGAAATATTATAACCAAACTCCGTGTTCGACTATAAACTCTTTGTGAAGTAAATGACGCTTGAAGATAAATGTGCAAGAAAGTAAATTGCTCTAAAAATAACTCTAATTTGAACTCGACGTTCGACTAGGGGATCTTTAAAAGTAAAGGTGCAGGAAAGTTAAATAGCTTTGAAAATAACTTTAATCTGAACTCCACGTTTGACTAGGGGATCTTTAAAAGTAAAGGTGCAGGAAATTCAAATAGCTTTGAAAATAAATCTAATCTGAACTCCACGTTCGACTAGGGGATCCTTAAAAGTAAAGGTGTAGGAATATTGGTAAAAACAGTTTAAATGTAAAGGCTGAAGGTAAAAAATGACAAGTAAATAGAAAAGATAAGTAAATTGCATTGATGAAAAAAGGGTTGGTGTTGTATCACATACATTCTCGCTAACTCGTTTCTCTACACGCGGGTACTTTGAGTTTTTTGGAGTGACTAGTATAAGATGAAAGAACACACTTATTACATAAAAATGACAACTATTTATAGTACTAGTAAGTAACTACTATATGAAGGTTGAAGCCTCTCAACGTGTCCCTTTTGGCGCTCTTTCCATTGTCTCAACCGCTCCCACGTTTGTTTCCTCTTGGTTTGAATTTTGAACACTTAATTATTCCCTCCAACTTTGGTTGTAACTGCCTTGTTGTTCTCTTCAGCATGTCCTTTGTCCAGCGTTTTCCAACACTTAGCATTTTTAGCAACTTTGTCCACCTCTCTTCGACTTGGATTCTCCCTTCGTTGTGTCGAAATGTTCCCATGCTTCCAAATTGACACTTTAGCTTAAGATATTTCTAAGTTTAGCTGGCCTCAAAAAAGGCGAGCTAACACGTCCATCACGGTTCTAATTCTACTACTAGTTGGACGTCCCTTTTTATTTCTTCTCATGGATGGTGGATGTTGCCATCCATTTTCGGGATTGTTATATGCACTCTTCATCGATTCATGTCTATCAGAGATTAGGCACAAATTAGGTTGTGGTGTCACGTGTAACCTTAGGTTCCTTAGAAAAAAAGCTCCATGTTTCCTTTGTTTCACCTTAGACTAATGTGAATGCTATTGGGAAAATATTAGTGTTACCATTCTTTGCTACCACCATCAATAGAGTTCCTCTGTACTTGCCATACAACCAAGTTTCGTCTACTTGCACAATGGGCTTACAGTAGGAAAAACCACGTATACACGGACGAAATGCCCAAAATAGACGACGAAAGATTCGTTTTCCAGAGAGTTGGGAACCATCATTTGAAATTGCAGGTAGGGTTTGCAAATCTATAATGGTTCCTGGAAGGTAGGTTTTTATTACCAGTATCCATTGTGGCAGGTCGTTGTAAGATGTTTCCCAATTTCTATAGAGCGACTTTATGGCCTTACACTTAATGGTCCATGCTTTCCTGTAAGATATTATGTACCTGTATTTTTCAAGAATATGGGTAATGATCACCTTCAGCTTAAGTGAAACGTCTCGGTTGACAAGTTTTCTGATGTTATGGCTAATCATTTCTGAACTGAGCTTCCTATGGTCTTGAGCCATAGATGTGGTAGTGCATGTGTGATGCCCAGACAACTTATCAATCACCCATTTTGAGTTCCTTTTTCTCAAGGAAGCTCTGCACTTGAAATTGAAGTCTTGTTTCTTACACTTAATTACATATCGTTCATTGTTAGATTGATAAACCTAATAGTCAACATTGTGTGTTATGTGCCAATGTTGCAGAGCGAAGACGCAAGTGTTGCACCCCAAATTTTGACACCTTAGTTCTTCATCATCATTCTAAGGTCATTTTCATTTGTTTATCTAACCATAACATATTTCAAGTTTTTCTTTGTTAAGATACAGGTGAATTAGGGTTTTGTACAGTCAAGAATCGAGGTTTCGATGGCTTAATCAATCAATACCTTGGATTGATTCTCCATGAAACAAGTCTCCACATCATAAAAGATACTCCATTGGGTCAATTATGAATCCAATTTGAGGTTGTTACGCAAAGATCAAGAACAATGCAATCCAGGATCTCCGATTAGGGTTTCTGATCAAGAAAAGTCAACTGTGGTTTGACTTTTGATTTAAAAGGTGTTCCAATGGTGGGATCATGGTCCATGAATCTCATATGGCTTAGTGAAGTCCACTCAAGAAATTTCAAGACCTCAGAAGACCCAAAACATCAACAGTCAATCTGGTAGTTATCGATCGATCGTTCGTTTAACCGAAAAGTCAACTCTTTGACCATAAGGAATTTGACCTTAAAGTGTGAAGCAAATATGTTCCTAACAAAAGATTACACTTGTCCATGAAGTTTCATGACCATTGGATCAAGGATTGAGGAGTAATCGGAAAAGTCGTGAATTAGGGTTTTGAATGGGGCAAGACCATAACTTCCTAACCACACATCCAATTGAGGTGGTTCAAAGCTTACTGGAAATGGGGTCCTAACACTTGAATGCACCATTTCAAATTTTTCACAAATTCAATTTTCAGCCACTTGAATCATTCTCAACCATTTGATCAACATTTGATATGATAATTAAAGGAAATCATGAGTGAAAATGTAGAGGAGGTGAAGGCTTAAAAGGCTTGACAAGATTGGCAAGACAAATTGCATTATTTTAATCAAAAAAATCTAGAGGAAAGAGAAAAATTTTCATGAAGAAACTTGCAGCTGCAGCTCTCCTACTCCCTAGCCTCATTTCAGTCACTTACATGGCCTTCATACCACTTGATTTGTGCATCATCTTGAGCCAAGAACTTGGATTTGCAGCTGCAACAAATCTTGGACAGATTTTCACCCAAAATCTTCGTCCAAAACCAAAATTCCAAAATCTATCCCAACACCTCTCATTGCCTATAAATAGAGACTTCACTCCACTCTTTTAGACACATCAGAGCTATCCAAAACACAAGGAACACACACCTCTCACTCTTTCCCTCTTTTCTTGAAAGTGAAGAGAGTCACAAAATCACCAAAATTGCCTTGTTGCAATTTTCACACCAGTGTTGCACCCTAAAATTTGACCAACCGTTTCTTATTTTTTGGCTTATGTTTCGTTTCATTTGCATTTGCATATGCATACCGCATACTGTGCATTTTTGCAGCCGGGTTGATTTTTTTCGGGATTACATCCCTTTTCTATCGTGTTTCAAACGATTCAAACCGTTTCGGATACAGAGATTTATCGTGGAATTTGCTCTTCTCGGTGATTTGTTTGAAGATCTTCATGAACAAACATAAATCATCAATTTCCATCTTTGAAGCTATTCAAAACCTAAACTGTGTTCTTCAACTTCCACCGTGAATGAATCTTCAACAACTCAAACGCAACATCCAACATCAACATCTTGAAGAAGTCGCTTGGAAACGTTAATAGATCGCGATTAACAGGTCGAAGATCGTGAAGTTTGTGGATCGTGTGAGTTTGTTTTGGGAGGTTGATGATGAGGTAAGAAGAAGAGATGCTTTTGTTAAGGACGGAAAATGGTGGAAGGAACGAATTTGAAAGTGTGAAGGAAGAAGTTCTGGCTGACGGCGGCGGAGTTAGGGTTCGGAGATGGAGAGGCTGAAGAAGAAACAAGGACTAGGGTTTTGGCTAAAGCAAAATGAGGAAGAAGGAAAGAAACTCGTGGGCACCTATTTGGTTAGTGGGCCGTAAGGCCCAATCTTCATTTACTATCTCATACCCCCCGTATTCCTTATGCATACTCCCCATTGGTTTGTTGCTTTGTTTATTTTGGAGTTGGGCCAAGCCCAACTGGATTGCTTGTTGTACCTTTGTTTCCCTCTTTACACTCCCTGTTGTTTGTTTGTTTTGTTGAAGATTGATGGACCAAAAAGCCCACCGTGTGGATTCTATAATGCACCCTTGCTGGACTGTTACACCCCTGTACTTTATTTTTGGGTTATAGTTTTGACATGTTAATATATATTATATTTTCTTTTGTACAATATATGTTATTATTTTACATACCATTTTCTTTTAGGAAATTTAGATATTACATTTTCTTTAGAATATTTTACATGTTAATATTTTATATAGAGTTTATATATTATATTTTTCTATACCTATTTTCTTAATTTCTTTAGAACTTATACTTTTTCTATTAGGAGTTTTATTTCAATTTGAGAAATTGAATTCTTGTTTCCTTTTGTTATGGGTTTTTTCTCACCATTTCTGTTTTGTAGGTCGATGACGAGACCTCTGTAATGCGTTATTAATCAACTTGTTGATGGATAATGTAGGATCCGAGACAACTTTTTTCTCTCCGCATCTTTTGTTCTTCTTCTGATTTTATTTTTCTTTTCTGTTGTGTTGTCCGTGTGACATGATTCAATTGGAGAATGATTCTCAATACCATTTCTCTATCTTGTCTTTGACACAGATATCAATACGCTGCCTCTTGGGATTTGACTTCATTTATAAGTCAAATTATGATGGTTCAGCGTCACATTGTTTTTGATTCGAAATGTCTTCATCAAGGACCAAAAGAGGAAAATCTTAGAATGGAGCTTGCACAGAAAAGTCAAGGGTCAACGGAACCACTCCGTTCGGTAACATTGTTTTTATTTCACTTCTTTCATCTCTTTCTTTTCAACCGTCGAGTGTTGCAAGATCGTTAGATACGTGGAAAATGATGAGTGGGTGGTTTCTTCTCCCTCATCTAGAGTGTTTAGTATATGTCCTTAGGATGATATGCAACGCATTCGCTCCTACGTCTAGGACTTAGCGTGTGCGTCCCGTTCCGAGCCTTTTCTCTTGCATCCTGGCGATTGAGCTCCCTTCTCTTGCCCCAGTGCAATCGAGACTGTCTTTCCCGTAGTTGGCCGAACTACGGCTGCTCTGATCTCTCATATCTGTTGAGAGTACGTAGGCATAGGATTGCGATAATCCTAGCAAGCACTCTTCCCTCTTTTCTGTAGTTGGCTGAACTACAGCTGCTCTGATTTCTCATACCCGATGAGAATATGTAGGCATAGGATGCGATATCCTAGCAAGCACACTAACAACTAACTTCTCGGTTCTCTCGCTTCCGTGCGATCGAGACTTTTGCCGCTAACGACTAATCTTCCCTTTCTCTTGCCCTAGCTTAATTGAGACCAGACCGTAGTTCTAGTTCCCGTTAGGTTCCCATACCTTTAAACCACGACATACCACGTCCGTTCTACCGCAAACAGGTAACGCCTAAGTCTCTAATGGTCTAGCAACATACACCTAACTGCTAGAATACATACGCTAGTATCGTCAATCTATTCTCTCACCCCCGTGTGATCGAGAACACCCTTGTTTTCTCGTAGTTAGCCTGAACTACGTTTTGCTCTGATTTCTCATGCCAGATGAGAATACGTAGGCACAAGACGCGACGTCTTGGCGAGCAATCTCCCCCCCGTAGTTTCCCGAACTACGTTGACTCTGACTTTTCCAATGCACGAGGGCATATGTAGGCATAGAGCGGCGATGTTCTATCGAGTCAGTTCTTTCTGTTTAGCTTTAGCAGCCGTAGATAGATTGTTTTTCACTCATAGACTAGACAAAAATGCGTGGATCTCGTCGAGTACAACGGACGTGAGGGGTTCTCATACCTTCCCCTTGCGTAACTGACTCCCGAATCCAAACATGGTTGCGATGACCTTGTCTTTCCCTTTTTTCGTTAGGTTTCTCCGATCGTTTCCTTTCCCTCTCTTTGGGATAAATAACGAAAGTGGTGACTCTTCTGTTTTTTCCGCCGGTTGTTTTTCGCAGTTGGGACAACCAGCATCACTTCTAGCCATAAAACCAACATAAAAATCATTCACAAAAACTTAAAATCATCATTAGAAGGTATCCCAACCTTTGTTTCCATCAAAAACTTCACAAAACGAAAAGTCAACTTCTCACATCCTTTAGTTTGACTTTTATGCATAATATGGAGGAACTCACTTCCTAGATCAATTTGAACCACTTGGACACTTTGAACACCTCCCCTTTATGTTATATCAACTGTCTAAAACCTTAAAAAGCCATTGGAACCTCATTTGCTAGATCTGTCCCAAAAGATCACTTGTTGCTTCAAAAGGAAGAAAACTCAAGGCTTGTTTGAAAGGTGGGATATCCAGCAGCTAGCTTGCTTTGGGAAGTCTACAAGAGGTATGTAATTCTAAACTCCTCATTGACATGCATCATATGTGGATTTTTATTTATGTTTGATTGGTGAGTTATGACTCATAAGAAGAATGTGTTTGATTTTCTGTTTATCATGTGAAGAATACATCTAGACTTGTTATGTTTACTATTAATAAGATATAACACCATTTGAGGTTTTGTTTTAATGGTTGATAAGCATTATCATGTTTAGTTGCTGCTAAGACCTAGTTTTGTATGCTAGGATTTTAATAATGTTTGTCTTTAGAGCATGGTATTATGGCTGTTGTTTGGATGTTTGGTATTGTTATGCCAAGAAGTTTGTATTTGGGTTGAAAGATTGCATGTTGTCATAAGCTTATAAGTTTTTAGTGTGAATGGAGTGTTGGATTAGTTGTTGTTTGATTTGGACTTTGTCATATG